TTCTTTCTTTCTTTCTTTCTTTCTTTCTTTCTTTCTTTCTTTCTTTCTTTCTTTCTTTCTTTCTTTCTTTCTTTTTTTCTTGGAGGAAGAGATTCACCATGTAGTCCAGGCTGTTCTAGAATTCTTTATGTAGCCCAGAGTAGCCTTGAACTCACAGTCTTCCTTGCTTCAACTTCCCAAGTGCTGGGATTTCAGGCTTACACTACCGCATCCACCTCTGTTTAAACACTTGATAGTCACATCCAGAAAATAAAAACGGGGCTGGAGATACAACTCAGTGGTGTTTATCCTGCATGCATCATGCCTTGAGTTCAGCACTGCATGGAAATGTAAATCAAGACAGATGAAATAAATGTCAGTATTTTACTTCGTTTCATCCAATATGTCCAAGCTATTGTTATTCAACATTCAATCACCATGAAATTACTACTAATATACCTTAAACCTTTTTCATTCAAAAATGTTGAAGTACAGCATTTAACATTTAAAGCACAATTCAATCTATAATTCAATCTGTTCAAAGTGCTCCACAGCCCCATAATGAGCAGTGGCTAGAGTGTTCAAGAGTGCACGTATAACACACACACACACAAACACACACTCTCTCTCCTTTATTCCTTCCTTATTTTATTCCTTACTCTCTTTAAGAAAAGCAGATAGTTCTGTGAAAGCCTGCTCATCTCAATAACTACACTTACCTTTGCCATACACCCCCTGAAAATCCATTATAACATACATAATCTCCTTACTTTACAAAAGGCTCATGAACTGCTGGTAGCCAGGGGTGCCATCTGAGTGGGTGGACAGAATTAGGCTCACAGGGAGATGAAAAATAGACTGGTATAATCACTGATAAATCGAAAAATAAAAAACACTACAGGCACATCAGAATAATGGCTACTTAGGTGACAGATCTCCACAGGAGCCAGTTTCAAATGCAACTGCTTCATTCATTTTTAGGAATCTCCTGAAAAATAGCATCCTGTAAAAAGTTAGGTATTAGTTTATTGGAATGAAAGGAGAAAACACTTCCCCCCCATTGCTTAGAAAGCCTGTATTTGACACATCAGCCTCTTTGTCGTTGCTGTTTGTAGAAACCAAGCAGCAGCCTCATAACTCAGAGCTGGAGGTAGTTCAGTTGCTGGAATTTCCTAGCCTGGACAGAGCCCAGTGTTATGCCTGGAACTGCACCAATCAGGCTTGGGGTGTGCCTGTCCTCCCAGCACAGGAGGTAGAGAGAGGAGGATCAGAAGATCATAGGGCATTTTTTAGCTAGAGTCCCAGGCCCAGGGTGGGCTGTGTGAGACGCAAACAAGAGTATTTCAGAAGCCATACAATTGAAGTGAGTATTTTTATTGATTTCGTGTGTACGTAGTGCAGGTGTTCCTGTGCCGGGGCACATGTGTAGAGGTCAGGGGGCAGTTTTCAGGATTGGTTAGTCCTCATCTTCTATCTTGCTTTCTTTTTCTGTGGCACACTCCAGACTAGTGACCTGTGAGCTTCCAGGCTATTCTCTTATCTTGCCCTCCTAATTTTTGGTAGGTGTTCTGGGGTTACAGATGTGCACCTTGGCATTTTTTTTTTAACTGAGATTTTTTTTTCCCATACAGGATATTCTGATTGTGGTTTCTCCTTCCTCGTATCCTAGGTTTTCCTTGTCTCCTCATCCTTCTAACTCTGATGGACCAGACTGACTCCATCTTAAGGATAGAAGCCATTTTGTAATAAGGTCAGAACAAGTTCATTTCTGTTTGCTGCCAAATTCAAGCTTGACTGTGCTTTAACCTGTTCCTGGAATTTGACATGCTCCCCACCCTCTGGAGTTTGACTCACACCTTGAATATACCCTGATAAGATGTTCTGCCAAATAAATTTGAAATGCTCATCCAACTTTCTATGTCACCTCTGAAAATCTCCCAAACCTTGGAAACCCCCATAGCCTTGCAGTTTTGGAGGACCATATAAACCCTACCTTTTCCTATATTTGAATGCTGTTTTCTCGAACCCTACAATAGGTAGATAGCCCTGTGTGACACACAATAAAGCTTGTTCAATTTGACCAAAGAATTTGGGTCATGGTCTTTATTCTTATTTGGTGGGATTAAAAACGCCACTCCTTCTTTCTCTCTTTAGAAAACAGACCAGAATACAAACAAATAACTAGGAAAAGGCACTACACACACACACACACACACACACACACACACACACACACACACACACCAAAACCCATAAAAAGACAAAATTGGAAACCATAATATGCCAACAAAAGACCAGTAGGGTAAAAAAATTCTCAAACAAAGCAATATGAGAATGAACCTCCAAAAATAGTTTAAGTTCATTTTGTGTTAGCCTTCTGCTCTTGAGCATGGGGCCTACCCTTAAAAGTGGTTTATATACTCAGTGAGACTCCATTGCAAGCAGCTGTCAATTGGATATAGTTCCTTTGTTAGAGATGGGATCCCATTGTCACTTCCCTCTCTCGATGTTGGCTCCTCATCCTGCTTGGACCTATGCAGGCTCTATGTATGTTTCCATAGTCTCTGTGCATCAGTCTTATGGTTTCTTAAACACAATGTTTCTTTGAAGTCATCCAATCCCTCTGGCTCTTAGAATCTTTCTACCGCCTCTTCCACATAGCAACCTGAGCCCTGAAGGACGGGGTTTGATGAGGACATCACATTTAGATCTGAGTATTCCAAGGTCTTTAATTCTCTGCTTTGTCCCATTGTCACACCTGGCTTTTTAACTAGATTCGGGGAAACCAATCTCCAGTCATCAGGCTTGCATAGTGTTCTAGTATTTTTTTCTGTTTCTGTGATAAAATACTATGACCAAAAGCAACTTAAGGGAAGAAGGCTTTATTTTAGTTTGCAGGTTATAGCCTACCATTGAAGGAAGTCAAGCAGGAACTTGTAGCAGAAACGATGGAGATTTGCTTGTTGGCTGGCTTACAGGCTCATGCTTAGCTGCTTCTCTCTCTCTCTCTCTCTCTCCCTCTCTTCAGGCTCTCACTATATCACCATGGCTTACCTGGAACTTTCTGCGTCGACCAGGCTAACTGGATTGTTTTTTTTTAATGCTTATGGGATGGTGCAGCCTACAGTGAGCTGGGCCTCTCTATGGCAGTTAGCTATTGAGATAACCCTTCCACAGACATGCCTAAAAGGTCAATCTGATCTGGAGCATCCCTCAACTGAGACTCCCTTCTCAGATGACTCTAGGCTGTGTCAAACTGACAGTTAAAACGAAGACACCGTGCCAGCGCTTTTACCTGCTGAGCTGTCTCCCTAGCCCTGGTGCATAAGCCAGTAGGAGCACTATTTCTATTTAATCCTTGACTTGCTTAACAGGATATGTTTGTTTGTTTGTTTGGTTGGTTGGCTGGTTGGATTTGGCTTTTCAAGACAAGGTTTCTCTGTGTTGCCCCAGCTGTCCTGGAACTCACTCTGAAGCCCACGTTGGCCTCGAACTCAAGAGATCTACCTGCTTCTGCTTCCAAATGCCACGATCAAAGGTGTGCGCCACTACTGCCTGGTTGCAGGAGAAGTTTGGATAAATTCAACATGAAATTCACTTGATAGTTGGGTGTGGTGACCCATGACAGAGGCAGGTGGATCTCTGAGTTCAAGGCCAGCCTGGTCTACAGAGCAAGCTTCAAGACAGCTAGGCCTACAAACAAACAAACAAACAAACAAACAAACAGCATAAAGGAAAGAGAGAAAGAAAAGAAAAGAAATTCACTTGGTCACAGTTTTCAGGTTGTAAACTTCCTGAATTTAAAAAAAAGGATCAATTATTTCACACTGTCCATATAAAGTAAGATTTTCTTAATCATCTCATACTGGAAAATGGCATATGTGCTATACAAATGGAAAGAAAATGGTTATAAGCCCTCAAGTTCCCAGGCTTGGTCTCCATGTCCCACACTCCATAGGAACTTTGGGTTCTCTAGTTATCCCAGAAGGCATTGGAGTATCTCTGCCAAAGAGTATCTCTAAAGATTCATGAGCTTATCAGTTTGGCCATCCTGTATGACCTACCTTCAGTTCCTCTCCTAATCAAGATTTGCATGGGCAAGTCTCTTTACACTGCTAATGTCCCAAATGGCAGGAAGATCACCACTGATGGCTTCTTATATGAAGTCAGAGCTAATGTTCACCTTGTAGTAAAGACGGACCTTGAACACCTGATCCTCCTACCTTTCTTCCATGGCTAAGACTATAAGCATAGGCAACCATGCCTGGCTTGGATATTTCTCTTGAAGGGCATAGGTCACACGTTGAAGGTTGAGGCCTTCCTGAAGAGTTCAGTCTTTTTTTTTTTTTTGCTATAAGAGTCATGAGCAGTGGGATTATTGCTCATGAAAGGAACTACTGTTTTTGACACCTCATATTTCAGCTCTTAGGTTTGTTTGCTCCATTGCTTCAGTCCGTTGGCTCCAGGACTGCATTGTAAATGGTCTGAGCATCTGCCTCATTCTTTTTTGTTTCTCTCTCTGTCTGTGTGTGTGTGTACATGCATGCAATGTGTTCCCATGTTCATATCTGTGCACATGTAAGTGGAAGTCAAAGAACAGCTTTGAATATCATTCTTGTGCCATTATCCATATACCTCCCACCCCTTTTGAGACAAGGTCTCTCAGTAATTAGACTAAACTAGATGACCAATGAGCCTGGGGGAGCCTTGTCTCTGTTTTCCTTGAATGGGGATTACAAATGTGCCACCATGTTTTGCTTTGTAAACTTAGGTTCTGGGGTTTGAACTTAGGTTCTAATGTGTGCAGGGCACATGCTTTATTAACTTAGTGATCTCCTGCCCACTTTCTAATGCACTAATTGTTTTTTACTTTCAATCTCTTTCTTTAGGAGCATTTGTGTGTGTGTGTGTGTGTGTGTGTGTGTGTGTGAGAGAGAGAGAGAGAGAGAGAGAGAGAGAGAGAGAGAGAGAGAGACAGGGTCTCATGTATCCCTAGGCTTCTGTCAAAATGAATATAAAGTTGAGAATAACCTTGAATTTCTAATTTTCCTGTCTTCTTTTTTTCCACTGCTAGAATGACAGTTATGTAGCACCACATGCAGTTTGTTTGATGCTGGGGTTGAACCCATTGGCTTCCTGCACACAAGGCAGACAGTTTCCCAATGGAGCCATTTATATAGCTCTAATGGCCCATTTCATAAATCCCTAGCTACCTCTTGTTTCACCTTCCAAGTTCCTGAATATACCTGATTTCTGTGGGAAATAAAGTTTAGGTTCAAGCTGAGTTCTCAGCTATACTTAGAAAGAATAGTCCAAATTGTGTTTTTCTTCCTTTACATTCTTCATAATATAGTGCAAAGTTTTTGAATGAGCAGCATTTTCTTTAATTTAAATTTAATAATTAGAAGAAATTCTGGGACACAATAGACATTCAAGGAGTTTTTGTTGAGTGAATGAGAGCTTTTATTTGTAAGGAAATCTTCATTTTGAGAACAAGACTGAATCTTTTTTTCTGGTATACCAATCAAGGTCAATTTCAATCTTTATTTGGAACATCTGTTCCTTTTGGGATTGCTGTCAGGTGTGTGAGTAGGGGTAGGGCCCAAGTCATCCCAGCTGAAAAGCTAAGAATTGGGCATCCCCTAGGCCACATAATTATTGCTATCAGAAAGTAAGTTAACCTTTCTGATCAGTCTCTTTTACTATGAAGGTGAGGGAGATCTAAGCTAAGATTATGTGAGGCCTAAAAGAGGTAAACGTCTTTGCTGTTAATATTTGTGCAACAAATGGTAGCTATTTTAACAGCTATTAATATCAATATCAACAGCACTATTAATAAGCCTGGAGGGATGGCTCTTTGTTTAAAGATTTGGTTTCCTGCACTCACATAAGGCAGCTCACAACCCTTTCAACTTCAGCACTAGGGTATCTGACTCCCTCTTCTGGTCTCTTTGGGCAGCTGTGCAAGCATAGCACACACACTCATACTCACACACGTATACAAGTAAAAATAATTTAAAGAATTTTTGTTTTGTTTTGTTTTTTCAAGACAGAGATTCTCTGTGTAGATTTAGCTGTCTAGGACTGGCTTTGTAGATAAGACTAGCCTTGAATTCACAGAGCACTGGCTGCCTCTGCTTCCCAGAGTTCTGGGAATACAGGTGTGAGCCACCACACTCAACTTTAAAGATCCTTTTAAAAGTACTATTGATGGTGGAGTCCAAGATGGTGGTGACCCACGCGCGCACCATATCTGAGGGTCAGAGGATATGAACCCTCCGAAATTGTTGAGTGGGTGGGCAGCTGAAGCCAGAACATCCACATTGTGGCTTCCTGGGAGAAAGGGGACAACCCGTGAGCTGGGACAGTTTGGACCCAGGTCACCCACAGTCACCTCCAGGGATTTAGAGCGGCAAACATTAGACCCCCCTGCACTTCCCCTTGCCCCAAGCCCTGGCCTCCCTGCTCTCCCTACAGGCTGATCTTATGAAGGCATGTTTTCAATGATGATTCCAGACTCTACCTAGCAGGGTAGTAAAGCAGATGCTGAGACTTGTGGACAACCTTTTGGCAGAGTGCAGGGAATCTTCTGAAAGAAAGGGGAGATAGTAATACCTGGAGAGGACAGAAGCTTCACCAGGAGAGCAACAGAACCAAAAAAATTTGAACCCAGGGGTCTTCCCAGAGACTCATACTCCAACCAAGGACCACGCACAGAGATAACCTAGAAGCCCTGCACAGATGTAACCCATGGAAGCTCAGTCTCCAAATAGGCTCCCTAATAAGGGGAACAGGGACTGTATCTGACATGAACTCATGACATGACATGCCTGCTTTTTGATTCCCTTCCTCTGAGGAGGGCACAGCCTCACAGGCTACAGAGGAAGACAATGCCAACAATCCTGATGAGACCTGATAGGCTAGGGTCAGATGGAAAGGGAGGAGGACCTCCCCTATCAGTGTCTGGGGGATGGGCATAGGAGGAGAAGAGGGAGAGAGGGCTAGGATTTGGAGGGGACGAGGGAGAGGGCTACAGCTGGGATACAAAGTGAATAAAGTGTAATAAATTAAAAAA